TCCCAGAAAGGACTCTGGAATGCTAATATTGTATATTCATATATTGAAATAAAAAGATACTTAAAGATAGCTGTACCAAGTCCAATAAATGAAACACTTGTAGATCAGTAATGAAATAGGTTCTCTTTGTGAGTGGTAAGAACTGTGGATCAGACTTTGTTTTTCTTCTGCGGTTCTAGAAGAAATTAAAATCTCTAGATGGACTTCTGGGATTTCTCTTTATTGAGGGCTTATTCTCTGCTTTAACGCTCTTTCGGAGTGGAAGTTTAATAACACAGCTCCACAGTGGCAAGGATCATTTCTCCAGAAACATTGAAGGCTCCTGAAACGTCTTTAGCAGTGTCTGTAGTTGTAAAAATGTGAAGTGGCACTAACACGATATCTATCATCTCATGCAACCTCTTGATGCTGATTTGGAGCTTCACAAAAACATTCTGACTAACTTTCCTGTACTGCTCATTTCATACCTGATGAGTCTTTGGCTCATCCCATTCAAACTTAAGACTTGTCTTACTCTTTCCAAAATGAGTGATCTCTTGTGTTCAGAATTCAAGGCTACTGATATGAAATCAGTGTGGATGAGAAGCATCAGGCTAAAAAATTGGAAAGATAAACTAAGACAAAGCTTTTATTAGATATTTTTAAGGATTTCTTTTAACCAGCAAGCATTTCTAGCACAGGCTGAAAGATTCATTTTTAGAGAAGTCTGGCCTTTGCAGTGCTTGTATTTAACAGCTGCACTGTAGAGCAACAGCAAATTAAATTGATGTTTTGTTTTACTTCTGGTATAATACAAGTTGTTTGCATTTCAGCAAGCTCCATCTGAAGTAACAGAGAAGGTTTAATTGCAGACCACTGACCTTAGCTAAACAAAACGTAAAGCTCCAAGTTTTGATGAGAAAACTCAGTAAGCTATGAGCTAACTCTCCTTTATTGAATTTATATTTGCAAGCTTAACCATGTGAGGAATGATAATCCAAACAAATGAAAGTTTCCTTATGTCAGTAAAAAAAGCCAAGGACTGTTTGTGCCCTGTACTTCTCCCGAAGCATGATAATGTCTGCAAGCTAGTCATGCTACTGGGATCATAGGTTTTCTTAGCTAATACATTGCTGTATGACAATAAATGAACACGGCACTGAAAATGTGGGTTTCCAAATGTAAAGGCCTTCAGATATTCTAGAGGGCAGGAGAGTCTTCTGCTTTACATGGAGGAGCCAGTACTTCTACTCAATTTAACTCTAAAGTTACTACATATCATCTTGCTCCTTCTAACACTAATAGCAAAACTCTCACTAACTTCTCCAGGGGTTAAATAAGTCCATTACTTTCACTCTGTCTGGAGTAGGAATGGTTTGCTTTAATTTAGAAATCTGATTTTCTCTTACATCAGGTGTGCTTAAAAGTCATAGCAAGTAGATAAGCTTGTCATGATCAAGTATATATTTAAGCTGAAAGAACACCTTATCTAGGCTGAGTCAGGATGCAAAGACTGCCTTTCATTAGCAGCGCTGCACTTTCATAATTCTAGTAGTTAAGCTAAGTGCGTGACTGAAACTGCATGGTATGCCAGCTTCAATGAAACAGTTATTTTATTGTCTCAGTTTAGTTATCTCCAGCTCAGCTTACCCAAGTAACAGCAACATGTCATAAACCTATCAACATTTCCCTAATAAATACTTTCTTCTAACACAGAAGCTGATGAATCAAGCACCAGACATTGGTTAGCTGATAGTATTTGCTCTTATGCTCTACTAAACAGTAGAAAATAAACCAAAATTGGATTCTGGTATTGGAACTTCTGCACTTGTCCTCCATTTTCAAACAGACTGTGGTATTTACAAGAGAAGGAACTTGTTCTGTGAGTAAGCTTTGGGGTTTGTTGTTTTGTTGGTTAATAAAACACTCTCCAAACAAAACTTGCATGAAAAAGAAAAGATAAATTGTGAAGCAGGAAATAAATACAAACCATTTTCTTTACTCATTGTTGGTCTCTCACTGCAGAACACAGATTTACTTTCCTGTCCCTCAAGTTAGTATCACCTTTCACAAAATGGGATGGTGAGAAGGAAGGAAGTTAAATAAAGTATCATCCAGATTCACTCAGCTATAAAGTCCAGATCTTTCTTTTCCCCCCTCTCTGCTGGGGAGTTTCTTGGCAACCTTATCCTCTGATGATGACTTACAAGCAGGAGGTTGATTTCAGATGTGTTGCTTCCTCCTAAACTCATCATCTTTGATGAGGATATTTTAACTACCTATTTTTTGGTCAGTTTATCTACCGAAATCTGTACAGCTCTTCAGGGAAGTGCAGGTAACAGTGTTGGGGAAGACATTTTTTAACTTATTCATGAAGCCACGCATCAAGTAGATTTTCAGTTCCAGCAGTCACTCATTTGAAACAGTTACTGCTGCCAATAGTGGCTGAATAAACTGGTTATATGTGTAACCCCCTACTTCTTGGATGATTTTTAGTGATGCACTACAGATGACTCCTTTCCTCTGGCTTTGCTAGCTGATGTCATCCTGGGTTCCTAATTCCTTTTTCCTTCCCTTTCTTCCCCCTCCTTCTCCCTTCTACATTTTTTTCTTCTTTTTTCAGAGTCCTCTGCTGTAAAAGCATAGAAGAGAGCACCCATGACAACTGCAGATTGTATAAGCTTCCTTATTTAGATTGTTATTTAAAGTTCAACTTCCATGATTAGTCAAATGAATCAAAAAGATAATTGAGAGAGAGAGATTATGTGACACAGACATTAGTCACTACTGCTGATAGCTGATACATGGTTTTCTATCACCTATACAAAAATTGTTGGTCTCAAGTTTGTATTCACTGGGCATTTGACTGTAAGAAATTGTCCGGACTTAAGACTGAATTTTCTCCTAGAGTTTTCTGCCACGATTATCATCTTTTCATCTGTTTGTCATAGCTCTCTGTGGCTTGAAAAAGGTGTAAGGTGAAGGTCACTCATTTTTTTCAGACCTTGTTCCTTTCAGCTTAGTCTGTTGCCACGTGCTTCTTAGTCACTGAGTGACAATGGTATAACTCTCACCCCCAAACCCTCCTATTCCATTTAACTTATCAGTGCTTCTTAAGAGTTTTGTTCCTTTCTGGTTTGAAGGAGAATGCATTATGCACTGCTGTAGTTTTGCAACCCTGACTTCTCCTGGTGTTCATGAGATTCTGGAGTCAGAACCTCTAAAATCTGTTTGAGATCACAGGCTTCAGTCCTCTGCATGATAGAGGGATTCTGTTTTGCAATTTCCCTTTTACATTTTTGTCTTTCAAGGTTTCAGGCTTGTTTCCAAATGCCAATCACTACAGAATCACTAGTCTTGAGCTGTAAGCTTTCACTGACAGCTGATTGCTTTTTTTTTATTTTGATGCTGTAATGCTGTTACTGGCTCCTGGGGAAATAAACTCCATAGGCATCCTGCTCTGTGTTTCATGACTGGATCACAATATGCAATTACTGTTACACAGCTTTTGCCCAATGTCAAGCTTGTAGCCCCACACAAGTTCTGAAGGTTAGTGGTACTCTCAGCTCCAGCTGCTTGTAAGTGAAGGTACAGCTTCCAGATATTAATGATTGTTTTTATGGGGAACCTTGTGGCAAGGATGCAGAATACACCCCAGAGCTGACTTAAGAAACCTGAGCAGGGAAAGCAAGTCTATTTTAATATTGTTAACTTTTTCAGGGTTCATCCTTTTGCTCTTTGCTATTGAGGGACTGGGGCTATTCGTGCCCACTACCTACTTTAGTGACTAAAAGGGAACTTAAACAGTATTTTGATCAAAGAAAAATCTTCTTATGTGTTCAAGTGCAGGTGAATATGCAGTGGGGGGGGACACCTATCTTTTTTCCTGTTATAACTAAGGAATCTGGGCCATTGAGAAACACCCATAGCAAAAAGTCCAACATCATCCTTACCCTTCATAAACAGTTGCAGAAACTTTTTCTGGTATCTTAATGCTTAGAGGTCATACATGAATTAGAAGACCTACTTTAACTTCGTCCCTTAAACTTATATTCCCAAAGAAGCCTATAGGGGTGTCCTAATGACTGCCCAGTCCCTGAACTTCATCCATGTCCCTGAAACCTGTCTGGATGCTCGCTTGTAGAGTAGTTTTCCGTTCTCCTAGGCTGGTAAAAGACCTGAATCTGAAGCTCACACCACCCGGGAGAATGCTCTATACAATTAAATCACAGAAAGCTTCCTTTCTGTACAATAGGTTATATAGTGTGCAAGGAAATGCCATTTTCTTTAGAAATTGCATATGTTAAAGAAATCAGTCCCGCTCAATTACAAAGCTAGCCAAAGGAGGTGACTGAGTACTCTCAGTCAATGCATAAATGGAGATATCTACCTTGCAATCCTCACACTGGTGAGGATACAAACAGGGTAAGGAGACGGGACAGGAACTTGAGAGCTTCCTGTTCAGTGTTTGTTTGGTTTTTTGGTTTTTTGTTTGTTTGTTTGGGTTTTTTTGTTTGCTTTTTTTTTTTTTTAACTTTACTTGATGTACAGCAATCTTAGGTACTTTGGTCTATCTCTGGATCAGCATGCTGGTGCCTATGAAGTCATTGACTAGATAGGAAGTCCAAAGTAGTTGTTTTGAGTCTCCCCTATTATGACAGTGTAGCATTTAGCATAGGATTTTACATAAAGAAATTGTGCAGGGATTGTAATTCAGAAACCATTCAACCACTGAAATATGTACACCAGATACCTTTAAAAACCTGGATGCAAATTTACACAGTGTACATGCTTAATTGAAATCTTTCCCTTCCCACAAGTATACACTGAATTTTTGATACAAAGATCACAGCTACTCATATGATAGAAAACTCAGAAAATCAGTTTGATTCTATCCCAAAGCATATATTAAATGTCAAAAGAATATACTGCTGCTAAGGATCTGGTGGCTTGCCACAATGGAAATGACTCAGCTAGCTTGTTTAAAGAATGATATTTTAATTGCTTTGTAGATCACAAACCTGCCAGCCTTGTAATTTACACTGCTGAAGAACAAGACGACATCTTTCCTTGGCAGACAGCTTCTTCTTCTCTCCTGCTGCTGTATCAGCCAAATCTTTATACCTAGAAAAATCAGCAGAAGTAGAGTTACTCTAACGTTGGCCTGGTTGACATTTTTGCAGAAATTGTCAGGTTTCCTTTGACTTTCAAATCTTTGACATCCAAACTGGAAGCTTAAGATTTTGCTAAGTGTGGAAAGAACAAGAAGACAAATCGCTTTAAATCTTACATATTAGTAGACATGACCTTGGTTAATAACAGTGTGGGACAAGTGATGCCTAAACCCCAGATTTGCTTCCTGTCAGTACTTTGGATGTCTCACTGAAAATCAACGCAGAAAGAATGCAAAGTCTCACCAACTGATTTAATTGGTACTAAATTGGGTCACAGAAAGGAGGGAAATACTTTTTCAGTATGTGTCATATGACATATGCCTATTAAGGAATAATTCATAAGAAAGTGACATTGATAAAAATGTTTTCCATCAGTCTGAAATAATTTTTGCTTCATTTCGAACAAAAAGTCTTATAGTAAAGGGACTTTAAGGAACTTGATCAATTTACACTATTGGAAAGAAGATCAAGAGGAGACTTGATTACAGCATCTAGTACCTTCAAAGACACAAAACACCAGATATTAAAGGGCTCTTTAACATACCAGTTAAAAGAATAATGTAGGAAACTTAAGTCATGCAAAGTGAAATAAAGTATAAAATTCAAATTTCAACTGTGGATTTATTACATGTTACTAAAGAAAATGATGAATTTTGTACACCTTGATGCTTCATATTATTACTATACCTTCTTGAAGGTATTCCTCAGCCTAGATCTGACTGCATTTTTCATTATAGAAAGACAGTTTTTGAAAAGGAAAGATTTTGTAAACACGTTACTTCTGATTAAACTCCCACTGAAACAGGTGTAAGTTTTGAAGTTTGTGTGCTAACTACATTTCCTGACATTTTATTTATTTGGTTCCTTAACAGCTGAATTCACCTATAGCCCTGGTGCAACCCAAAACTGTGCTGTCCTGGGATCACTCACACAGTCCTTGGCAGGCAAAGCTGCAGGGCTGGAATGACTCCAGGGACATCAATGGTCCCAGGAGCTGTAGCAGCTCTGGAGAAACACCTGCAGGCAAACTGCTTTAAGGCCAAATTTCACCTAGACTTCTAGTTTCCTGGAGCTGCACAGACCCCTGGGTATCTCTGCTCCTGCAGTCTGGAGATGTCCTCTGGTCTGGTAGCAGTCCTGCTGAGGACTGCATGGCTAAGTCTATACTAGTAAATGAAATGTGAGAGGGATTATTTCTCTGGCATAGAAACCACCTGGCAAAACCCCAGCATGTCTATTTATTAAGTATTCTGCTATGTTCTGTTAAACTCTGTCACCTTCCAACAGAGTGTAGCCACATCTAAGCTGCCTTCTGGGATGCGTGACTAACCTGCCTTAATTCCCAGGAACTGTTTGGAGGAATGATGGTCAGAAGGGGCAAAAACTTCACCAGAGTTCCTTTTAGTTAGTCTAACACTCCAGATTAGCAGTAGAAAACTGTAGATACTACTTTCCTAATAGCTCACCTAGCTGTATATTCATGATGACATTTGTTTCATGGACTGCTATTAAGGCTGAGGCCACCTCATTTCCATACCTGTATCAAGTGGATTTTCCTAGAAACCAGGGAGAATCAGAGGTGTCAGAGAGACAACTGCTGGAAAGCTTAGCAACTGCTGACTGAAACAAAGATGATTCAGCATTGACTCACAATGCATGAAGAAGTAACTGTGAAAGTGGTCAGCCTGAAACTCACTCACAGCAGAAACCCAAAGAAATGTATTTTATTCCTGAAACAGAGGCAAATTACAATTTAAAAGGTTGACATTCTAAGTTTGGATCAGACATACTTTTGATCCATGCAAATCACCGGACTCAAAAGAAAGACAATCAAACATTCTTTACAACCTGTATTATATATGATGCCAGTCAAAAATGATCCACTGTTTTCCCCCAGCTTTAAAAGTCTTTGAAATTCCACTACATTATCCTGGAAGTCTAATCAGAGCTCACAATTCTCTTCTATCCATTAAAGCAAGCTCTATCTCAGAAAAAGAAGATATCAAGTGAGAACTGAAATATCTAGAGAACCTATCTACTGCAGAGAGAAACTTATTTTTTATAAGGAAAAAAGGATGTCAAGTAATACAAATTACTCAGCCTAATGGTTGTAGTAGCAGAGAAAGAGCTAACTATGGAAATTTAATTCTGCCACAAACTTCCTCTGTGAACATAGCAAGTCATTTGGAAGATGATCTACCTTTCCCTATGTTAGACACTGAAGAGCTACACTCCTAGCCTGAGTTAGTCATCTTGTTCTTAAGATAATCTGTGAAGACTGGTATTTCCATAGGGTGACTTGTTCTATGCATCCTAGAAATTTTTGTTAAAATGAGAATAGATTGCCCTCTGGAGGTGCCTTTCTCTACTGACCACAGATGTACTCAGAAGAGAAGTCCAGGCTGGATGTTTGCATTCTGGGTGGCTGAGAGGAGTCTCACCTTTAGGTCTCCTTGTCTGACCAACTTATCTGCAGAGTAACTAATAGACTTTCCTTATTTCTCCTATCTTGTTCAAATACAGGCTATCTAAGCACCTAGGATGAAAAACCATCTTTAGCCCTGGTGTCATCATCTGCTATCTCAGACCAATCATTTTTATCTTGTATAAGGCTGCTTAAACAAACAAATAAAAAAAACCCACAAAATTTGTAGCTATTTTTCAGCCAGAATGGCTCCCTGATTTCATTCACAGCCCAGTTGTGCAAATACCAGTGTTAACATCAGGGAAGCAATGGGAATGGGTAAGTAGGAATGAGAAGACTACACCTGGAGAAAAGTGGTGGTGTAATCATGGGCTTATTTGATTTTTTGTACTTAATTTTGAATAAGTTAAAATATGAGTTGTGCACTGTAAGACCCCCGTTTCTTTCCATTGAGTATAAAGATAGTCTATGCTCTTGACTCAGAATCACAGAATGGTAGGGGTTGGAAGAGACCTCTGGAGATCATCTAGTCCAACCCCCCTGCTAAAGCAGGTTCACCTACAGCAGGTTGCACAGGACTGCATGCAGGCAGGTTTCGAATATCTCCAGCGAAGGAGGCCTCCACAACCTCTCTGGGCAGCCTGTTCCAGTGCTCTGTCACCCTCAATGTAAAGAAGTTTTTCCTCATGTTCAGGTGGAACTTTCTGTGCTTCAGTTTGTGCCTGTTGCCCCTTGTCCTGTCGCTGGGCACCACTGAAAAGAGCCTGGTCTCGTCCTCTTGACACCCACGTTTAGGTAATTGTAAGCATTGATAAGGTCCCCTCTCAGTCTTCTCTTCTCCAGGTTAAAAAGCCCCAGGTCTCTCAGCCTTTCCTTGTAAGAGAGATGCTCCAATCCCCTCATCATCTTTGTGGCTCTCCACTGGACTCTTTGCAGTAGTTCCCTGTCCCTCTTGAACAGGGGGGCCCAGAACTGGACACAGTACTCCAGATGTGGCCTCACCAGGGCAGAGTAGAAGGGGAGAAGAACCTCCCTTGACCTGATGGCCACACTCTTCTTCATGCACCCCAGGATGCCATTGGCCTTCTTGGTCACAAGGGCACACTGCTGGCTCATGGTCAACTTGCTGTCCACCAGGACTCCCAGGTCCTTCTCTGCAGAGCTGCTCTCCAGCAGGTCGATCTCCATCCTGTACTGGTGCATGAGGTTATTCCTCCCCAGGTGCAGGACCCTACACTTGCCCTTATTGAACCTCATTAGGTTCCTCTCTGCCCAACTCTCCAGCCTGTCCAGGTCTCGCTGAATGGCAACACAGCCTTCTGGCATGTCAGCCACTCCTCCTGGATTCCTCCAGCCACTCCAGCATAGACATCTAATATTAGACAACGTGAATGTGTCTCCTAGCCACATCAAGAAGCTGATAAAACCCAGTATTTCATGGCCTAGCCAGAGCAACTCATTTACTAAGGGATCTAAAACAAAATACAAAACAGAGAGATTAAAAAGATTAAATTGAATCAACGCCCCTCCACCACCATGACAAGACTAACGTAGTGTTGATTAGGAAATAAATGTGAGACCTCTTCCAGTTACAAGTTGAGACAGGGAACACTACCATCGAAGGAGCTCTCCCCAACGCCCCTTCACAGGCAACCAGTGTGAGGAAAGTTCCATTTTCCCCAGCTTTGCCCTTAGCATCCTCCTTGTCCTGACTTGTCAGTTTTACAGACCTAAACAGAAGGAAGACCTTTTGGCTAGACAGGTTAGCACTGTCAGCGTGTAGAGACTGGCCAGGATCCTCTGATGTTGCAGAAGCTGTGCTCTGACCTTTCTTCCTTTGCTTCTGAATGATGCTTTTTATCAGGGAGATTTTTTGTTTGTTTGGACTAGACAATGCTGCCAATACCTACAGGTAGATTGTGAATACGGAAAACCCAGTTCTCCTGGGTCTTCACAGATAAAGGTGTTATCTGATCATTTTCTCCCTCACTTCCCTAAGTGCACGGCTACAAGATCCAGCAGGCTGTTTTTCCCTGAGACAGAATATTCTCCATTTCAGATTATGGCACAGTAACCCCATAGCAGTATTCTAAGGCTCAGCACGCTATTTGATTTACATGGAGTCTGCACAAATAGGCTGTAGGGCTGTACTCCCAGTTCTGTATGCACAGCAATTCTTTAAGCATTGGAATAAACACCACATACTCAATTTCAATAACACATCAACATGATAGAAGATACTAATGGAAAGACCACGGGCAAGTAAAAAGGACACAAACGTAAGCAGCTCCAAATCAACAGCTTAAAAAACCAACATAGATGTCTTTGAACTGAAGCCTCAGAATATTTTTTGTGTGTTGGTTTTCACTATTCTTTTTCTCAGGTCTCTCTCTTGCCTAGCTAAGAAAGAAGGACCAAAAATGACAAAGTCAGAGGTAGCTACTGACTGCAATCCAGTGTCCTCAGTAATAGGACAGCTTCTAACACCAGAACTCAAATCTTTCCTGAAAGCAACTCCTTCTCTT